GAGCTAAATAGTTCGGGCAGGAGGTGTCAAGCGTTACCATCATCTCGTAGAGCCAGTAAGCACTGCTGGGAACAGTAAGGTTGGCTTTTGATATTTGGTGATTCAGCAGTATGGTCTATCCAATTCACATCACTGTCTTCAGCAGATTTCCCTTTCTTATCAGATTTTTGATCCGGGTTAGAGCGGGCTTGAGCATTTGCAGTTCGTCCACGGCGTGCGGATGGCGGCAATGGAGATGGAGACGGAGATGTTGAGGGGGAAGGGCTTCTTGATCGGGGTACAATATCTGTGTGTGGCCGGCATCTGGGTCGTAATTTCATCTGAAAAGGAGGAAGCTTGGAAGGGCGTCGGCCACGATACAGAGGTGAGGCATGCTTCTGCCGAGCGGTTGGAGGTGTTTGCTCCAGGATATCCGAGTATTCAACCGGCCAGATGCCAAGTTCCGCGACGGCATCATGCCACTCTTGCGAGGCAGGAGGGGACACTAGAGCTCTTAAGGTAAATGCTAGTACCTGAGCGACAGCAGTTAAATGGAGACTGTCATCATTGATTTCTTTAACATCTAGGCCGGGAGTACAGACGGAACACATGACGGATGATGGATTGTCAAGAATGCGTAGAAAAATAAAGGCTTCTCCAGTGCATGCATAGCCATACCGGACTCCCCTGGCAACCATGTAGGAGAACAACTGTGTGATGACAGCAGCAACTAACCGCTTTGAGCAGAAATCAGGATCATCTGAGTCCTTATCAATTACTTCTTTGAAAGGATGAATGTCCTGAGCCAGCCCTCTCAAGATTTCATCCTGAGTGAGCTTGTGGGGTGCCTTGTACTCAATAGCGAGCACTGGGATGTCCTGATTGCCATCTTGGCGATAGATGCAGAATTGATCGGCCTGTCCTCTTGTGACCATCGTGGGCTCCCTTTTTTTTGTGTTATTCTTCTCACCCATTCTCTTTCCGGCACCTGATTCAGTCCCGACCGCGGATTCAACGGACAACTGCTGATCGCCTGGGTTCAAGTCAGCCGCTCGTGTTGAAAGCCCAAGGTTAGCATGGCTTTCAAAGGTAATCGATCCGCGCAAGCTGAACGCCCTCTTAAGCTCATCATTCTCATATATTCGGTCTATTATGGTCCGCACTTGATTTTCTACCGTTTCCCGTTCGTAGTACCGAAGACCCCACTCTGAGGAAATTGGGCTGATATGTTTGCGGACGTAGTCGAGCTGATGTAGGGAGGGGAATAACTTTTCTGTCAAGAAATGGGAATGCTGATTGAGCTTGTGCCACACCTTCATTTGCTCCTCAGCGAATGTCTTCCATAACATGATGTGAGATGGAACCCTCCGATTTGTTGGTCTTGTTACCGCGCCTTGAGTTGTTTGACTGGGGTCTTTCACAATCTGGATCGCGACCAACAATTCATGGCAGGCATGTAGAAAGAGAGGCAGTGTTAATGACTCTGCCCTCGAAGCTAGAGCTTCCGCTTCTTCACGTAGTCGTTGCTCTTCTTCACGTTGCCTTCTTTCGCGTCTCGCCTCAGCTTCCGCGTCTTGACGCCGTCGTGTTTCTCGCTCGAGTTCAGCCCTTCCTCTCTCGAGTTCAACCCTTCCTCTCTCGAGTTTAGCCAACAATTCTTGTACTTTAGGATCCATTCTAAAGGCAATAATTGTATTGTAATCTCCCTGCAATGCCGTATTTGCTCAGTTACAAATAAACTGGCCGCTGGGACTATTTTCTTGGCGTGATTTCTAGTGGGACCAGGATCAGAATGGGAGTGTAAAGTGACTAGAATTATTAAAACATGAGAGAAATGAGATTAAAAAATCTTGATATTCTGTGTAAAGTGGATGGGACCAGGACTAAGATATTTGATAATGGGAACTGATGGTCACATATAAACAACGGAACGGATTATCTTATTGCCGCGAATGTGGTCCAGGCAATTGTCCATGGAAGGAACCAGCCGATGTCCCAAGTACTCCGTACTGAATATCAATATAAAAGGAATAAATTAAATTAAACTAACTTGTCTATCTATATCTTGATAGTTATAGGCAGTATTTATAAGGAAAGGAATGCTCGATTATATGAGCAGAAGAATATTCAGAAATCCTTTAAGGGCAAAAGAGTTCAATCACCACCAGCGCCCTGGTGGTATAGGGGGTACGGATCACCCAATCCAATCCCCCCAACACAATTATCCTGCGAAGCGGCTGAGCTTGCTGAGATAAGGCCCATCTGTTGGAGGTTTGGATCGGTTCGTCTCCTCTACTACCACCATGGCGCTGGTGTAGGAGAGCTCTTGTTTCCTCCGTACCCTACCCCTGTTTGTTGTTAGTTATTCTCACGGGCTTAAAAAGGGAGCCCGCATGTGGAAGCGCAATAATGGCCCTTCCCGCTGCTTCTAGGCATGGACGCCTAACCCCTATTTTTCTTTTATTACAATCGGATATTATATTCTAGCGCCCGTAAGAATGCCTCGGCGGTTCGGCCGCTGAACGCGCAAAACAAATCCAAGCAATTATTATCGAAGGACCATTGTTCTTCAGGGAATGGATGTAGTTTCATCTTGGATATACCGGCAGAGCAATACTGAGCAGGCTTGGTAGTTCTAGATTTATCAGATAGGTTCACTGTGTATTGGACGTGTGGCACAGTTGATGAAGCCGTGAAGCAGGACTCTAGTTCGATATCCCGTGGCAAACTGATGGCGATGAGGACGAATACGCGGAATCTCTAGCGACAATTTTGCTACTCGCGTTTTGCAGCATGATGAGATTTGTTCTTCATCGTCGTCTTCCCTCAAAAGCTGCTTCTCTGGTTAAAGGTTAGGTCCCGTCCTGAGCAAACGCACTCGGCGGCCGGAAATCCATGTCGGTATCATTTGGGACACATTCTGCTAACATTTTTCGAGTATTTCAATCTAAGTCCGGGCGCGTACGACTAAACTTTATAGATACACATGTCGCAGCACCCCCGTACGCAGCGCCATCCTGATCCCTTTCTCTCTCGTTCCATCCGAAGACCCCTGGGCAATTGTGCGACGACGAGGGTTGGGGTGGTCGGAAACTTGACAAGGGCCTGACCTGGTCTTCAAGCCATCATGTGGGAGAATGCTCCAGCCATCCACTGGGGGGACAACCACCTAGCAACAGCAAGAAGTTCGAGATGATTGAGTGCCTGGTCCTTGCCGGCAATCCATGTGAGCCTCCAGCGGTTCGGGATGCCGCTGGGACGAGACCGCCCCCGGATACACCTTGCTTTGCCAAATATATAAACACAATTGTTAAAAAAGTTACTGGAATGCCCTTTGCTCTTCCGAGTCGGCAATATAGTTAACAGCGCCATTCCGTATTGTCTGCCCGCCCCTGAAGAACGAGGGCCCCAGGTAAAATTGTCTTTAGATCTTGATGAACTAAGGCGTCAATTGTATCAAATCGTTGTCAAATCTTTGTCGTATGTAGGGAGTACTCGGGCCCCGTTGGATTTTCGACCCCTTTTGACGACGACAAAATATGGTCTACGCAGCAGATCGTGAAACACCAAGAGCCCGGGCGGACTATGCTGTGGGCTACGACGTGGTTGCATTATGTGTTATTATTAGGGTTGTCCTGTGTTTGACTGATGGAAAACGGAAACAGGGCAAGGCCGTTTCTGATGTTCCTCGCATCTACTATGCAACTCGGTTTGTGTTTTGGACGGCGCGTAAGGAAGAAATCCTGATCAGTTATTCTCAAAATCGACAGGGCGTAGGATGACATTTAAATACTTCCTTGTTCGATCGAGACCGTCGAATATTTCCGGAGCCAAAGCACATCAGGGGTAACTCATAAATCTCAAAACAAACAACCATGGAAGTTTCATCCATTGTTATCGCCGCATATCAAAACTAGAAATGAATCGAAACAAAAAGTGGCTAATGATATCCCCTTGCGCTGTTTCAAGAGACACTGACTAGGTAGAAAGTCCGTTTCCACTTTCCTAGAACGCCATGCCAATAAGCCATGTACTGTACTGTAAGTACACATTCAAGAAAAAAAAGGGGCTTGATCCATGAGCCAATAAATTGGATATATTGCAACAAAATAATTATCGCCGCCCACTCATAAAGCCACTGGTCCTAAATTCATCCACCCCAAGCGTCGCGTTCTTCGTTGAATGACCCATACGCCATGTTTCTCCCTGCAAGGCTTTCGGTGTCTGCCTCATTATCCTCATCAGCCGATCTGAGTTGTTCTGTCGGCTGCTCGACCATGCGCCTGCCTTCGATGCTTTCATATCGGCCGTTCGCATTTACGGGCTGATCACTTCAGAGCTGGATTAGCTTTTTATAGAACTTCTAAGTTGCGGAAGTTGGCCACTCACGCTAAACAGGCTTCGTTAACTATGTTTTGTTGTTCCCCAGGCGCCCCAAAGCGTTCACGTTCGGTCTCGCCGACGTCATCCATATCGAGATCAATTAGTTGGCTCCGCCTCAAACGGGACTGGGGGGAGATGCTGGAGCTGCTGTGTTCTTTGTTTCCATTAACAGAGCGTTTCGAATTGCGATTTGACCTACGGCCTGATGAACTCTCTGACGCTTCGTTATTATGAATGCGTCTGTTTCTATGTTTAGCTGCTCTCTTTACATAGCTTGATTCGGTGTTGTTTCGAGCTGGGTTGGATACCGAGTACCTCGTCCGTCGCGGAAGTCGCTGGTCGGGTGGCACCTCATTGGCCGTTATCACTGGATACTAAAGGGTAAGTTAGTTCATCATAGATGAAGTTTAGGGATGTGATTGGTTACATTATAATCTCCGAACTCTAATGCTCTCGCATTTGCGAAGAGTCTTTCGTCTTCCTCGTTGAGTGTCATGTCCTCCAGATCATCATTATCCAGGTTTCCATCATTTGCACTACCTCGTTTCGACCAGCCTTTGGAGTTCCTTCGGCTGTTGGTTGGCGAGCTTAAGAGGGGCGTTCGACTTGTTGCTTTTCCTGGTTTGGGAATCCAGTATTTAGCCTTCCCACCCCTTTCATATCTCATACCATCCATCACTCTGGCTAAGCGTGATTCAGATTCCTCATGCGCTATTACATTATCACCAGAGTCAAATAGTCTGTACTGATAGTTTTCTCCACGAAAAGTTTCTTTGGTGTCTTCGATGAGATCCCGGATTCCAAATGCATCCCGAATAGCAAACTTCACTGGCATCCGCGCAGCTGATACAGATGCATCGGCATAATCATGCCAGGAGAACGCATACCAGTGGGTAAGGGCGAAAATAGGCATTTCAAAACAAATCAAACTGTCCTGGATTGCTGCGGCAAGGTTATCTGGACTGTAGCCTGCAACGCCATTGGGTAGAGCTCCAAGCCACTGTAGGATTGAGAGAAAAAAACCTTGCCAATATGAGGCAAAGATGATGAGTTTGACGCAAAGAAATTTAGGAACAGGGCGAAATGGTTTGAGGTCATCGTGCATACACACCCAGAACATTGCCAATGAATAAAGACTGAGCGTGACGCTTATGTTGTATATAATCCCGGTCCACAGGTATCCCGAAGAGAGCCCAAGATAGCCCTCTTGGTATGTCCCGGTAGCTTTCATTATTATGGAAGCCAAAGCAAGGATAGGCTTTAACCATGCATACTGCAGAATGCCACGCTTTATAGCAAGGAAGGTGTGGGGATCGGAAATATCGACTTTGCGAAGAAAGTGGTTGAGCGGCCAAGCATGCTGTACAGGTGCGCGTCCGTGTGTCATGACTATGAGAGCTCGTTCTCCGCCAACTAAATTGATAAGGAGTTGAAAAAATGTATATATCGTAAATGCCTTTTATGTCACCAAGTTAATGGAAGATTCCAGTATGCCTCAGGTTAATCGAGGGCCCCTACCTCATAGATATCACGGATCGGTGCTGTAAAAGCAGAGGCTTTCAACGAAACTATGCTCACCCACGACGAGACAGAGTATATCGGAACCCTAAGTGACTATTAGCATGCCGGTCCAAATTTATATGAAAGGGCAACCATCAACCGACATTAAAAGTATCCTCACAACATAACGCTGAAGCAGCGGCTTCCGATAATTTTTCCTGCACCACCTGTGTTATTTTCCGGTGATATATATACATATCGGAGCAAAGGCGCTGCTTACGTTTGAAGCCATATCGATCTAGGGTAGAAATCAAAATCAGCGGAATGTCACAAGAAAGATATCGTGCAAGTAGAGACAGGAGGCTGTTGACAAACATTAGAGATATTAATGTAGCCACCAAAGATGCCACACCTGCAACGATGACCGTAACCTTGGCCAGGCTAGACCCTGTGCCTCCAGAAGAGCCGGAGGCGTTCGTCATTGTTGGCGTGATCGAATGCATCTTTCACGGTTGTGATGTTGTTTGGCCCATTGTTGCCTTGAGGTCATTCCGCGGATTGAATCATGCACCATAACAATGCTCTGTCCACGCCAAGACGGATTTGATGCTCTCTTTAGGGGTCACCATGGAGTGGCGTCGCGCAGGGAGACAGACCATTTACTATCGCAGATTGACAGGAGAGTCGAGTAGTCTGTCGTGTTTATCAAAGCAGCACCGTAACCAAGATTCATGGGTGTTTGGGCAGGTCGAGGGCGGTTTTTGCTGGAGCTGGGAAGCTTCGTCCCGTGACATTCAAACACAACCTTGGAACCTTCAGCACGGCAATTATTTATCATAATGCTCGGCACTCAACCTAACTCCGTTAAAAGTCGAATAGATATCCACACCTATGAAGATGTTTGGCCCTGATATCCTCGGTATAATATCACTTACATTATGCCATTCTTGAAACCTTGCTCTTGCGGTACTCCTTGCCTCCTTGCAGAGACATGGTTGCTGGCATCTGCAGGAGGATTTGCTTGCAATGGGATAGCCGAATCTCGATACCATCGACTTTGCATAGCTCGATAAGATGGAAGGAGGCAGATTAACAGCCGAGTCACTGGCTTCAGTAATTCCCAAGTTTAATTGGTAATATTTCCGATCCTTCAGCTTTTGATGTGGGGCTGATTATTGGCAGGGTGTTTTTAGTTGAACTCATTGTTTGTGGCATTCTGTGAGTCTTGATCCCCAACATATTTGAAGAGGAAGTACATCTAAAGCTGATATCGCGACGTAGTACTCTTTTCTTCCTATTTTACTTCAATAGGCTCTTTGCTACCATTGTTTCGTATCCCATCCGAGCCTATACCTGGCATTACTACGGGGTTTATATCGATATCCATGCGCTTCAAATTTCCCTACTCGGCGGAAGGATATTTTTCAAAGGATTTCGCTATCACGGAGAGAATGAGACGATATTGGTACAATCAGGTTACCTGACATGGAAGTATTGGCTTCGGTCCGTACGTAAGGTTGGTTTGGCTCGAAATCACGAAGACGGTCCGGAATTCTCGAGAGAGCAGGTGGGAGAGTCTGATTCGGATGAAAGCACGCAAAGCCCAAACCCCAGCACCAGCCAGCAGGGTGGGGCCACTAAGAGAAATCGCCTGCCTTGTCGGTTGGAATTGACAATCCAGGGTCTCGAGTGGTTTGTTTATAACAGGAGTGCTGCCTACGATACTATCCTCTCTGGATTTGGATATACTCCGAGAAGGGAACCTGATGGTAGCGACAATGGCCGAAGTGATCATGCTACTGGAAAGAATAATGAGAGATCGGAATCACGTAACTCAGCGCAAACAGGTAGTGGATCAACTGATAACAAGGATTGTTCACATTCCCCCTCTCGCATTGAATCGGCTACTTCACGTCCTAGCCAGTCTGAACCGTCAACTTTAGCCAATCGCACTCGCATCCGTTTATTTCGTAAAGAATCGAATTCGGAAGAAGCTTTAGATTCCTCTTCGGCGAGCTCAGCAAAAGACGCGTCACGTTCCAAACCGCTGGCTCTTCTTCCCCTGGAGTTGGTTTGCACTAAAGGAGCTATGGTTATTGGTAACGAAAACACAAAAACGTTTTTGACCGCAAAGTTTGAAAGTGCTTGTGGGCACATTGATGCTAGCAGCTCTGGCCCGCTAGACATGTTCAGACATGTATTTGAATTTCGCCTATGCCACCCTGTAGTTCAAATGAAACCCAATCCAGACTTTAAACAATCTCAGCAAGCTACTGCCAGCGGGCTACGAGCAGCGAAAGGAGACCAAGAAAGAGGGAGAAACCCAAGGGACCTTCATTCGAGATATCAACACCACAGACGCAGAATATGGCACAATGTTCGTGACCTGATCCCATATTTCCAGACTTCAGTCGAGTCAAACCACGTAGGTGCGGGAAGGGAAACGCGTGGAGCATCTCAAATGCCTCCAGCAAAAACGGGGTTGCCAGTGGATCTCGTTGGCTCGGGTGACTCGATACCTTGACGAAGATGATCGAGATGTACATGAGAGTTGGAGCACTATCGAATACGGCCGGGTTCTCTACCATAATTGATTGCCCCAACTGCTCCTCAAATTATTAATTGGGATGTGCCGGGGAAAGTGCCCAAGGGGCGGAATGCATTCGCAACTTTCAGTTCATAAGCTTTCTGATGATATCAATGGTGCGGATCCCCCCGAGTGGGGTATGCAACTGTGCATTGGGGGCGGAACTATTAACTATGGCCCCTGGGCGGACAGGGAACGTGTGTGTATCCAGACGGTATTTTTCCCGAACCTTTACCGAGATTCACAGCCATCTCCACCCCTTGAACCCTATACGCCTCGTCAAAGCACCAAGTTTAAATTAACCATCAACATCGAGAAAGATACTACCTTGCGGATTCCAACCAGAGAAGCGTCCAAAGATTGGTTGTGGAAAGATCGGGCTGATGCTGTTGGGGGACTTTCCAAATCGCAACACCGGAAAGACAAAAAACATCCACGAAATAAGGACGCCGAAAAAAGTACCCATGGCCCCGATATTAGGCCCTTTGGTTGGTTTGCCATCCGGATAGCGGCAAATTCCACAATTCGATATTCAATGGACATGGTCGCTTCAAGTTCAGGGTACCAAAATCAGTTGGACCTTCACCTGAGCGGGAGCAGGGTGACATCTAGTGTAAACCATGGTCTATTGTGGACCACTGGGGTGCAGAAGATTTCTTTCGACTTGTCGAATCCATTGGAGTGGAATATCCGGCGCTCCTGGTCCATCAACATTGACAGCGAAAACTTGGAACTTTTCTTATTACGAGACCACATTTTCCTTCTGATAGACCTAGTGAATGACTGGACTTCGGGACCTCCCCCTGACTTTTATACATTTGTGCCTTTCCGCTACAACATTGACTTTTCCTTCACGAACTTCAAGCTCTTTTTGAACGTCAACGATTCAAACATAATAAATAACCCATCCGATACTAATGACAACTCTTTCCTCGTCATACACAGCGAGCGCCTGACCTCCCACGTCAATATCCCTGTCGAGAAATATAAACCAAAAAGCAATGCTGTAGGATTCGATGTTAATTTGTCAAATGGATCAATCGAATTGATGACACCATTGTGGAACACGCAGCGCGCCTTTCTCCACGATAACTCCGTTGCGACGCTCAAAAGGATGGGCTTAACAGGTAGTTACAAGTATAATCTTGAAACCTCGTCAACCCTAACGGATAGGTTAACACTCGATATAGTCGGTGTTTCGCCTAAGCTTTATCTCTATGGATTTTTAATACGGCACTTTTTAAAAATAAAGGAGAACTACTTCGGCGAGTACCTTCATTTCAAAACCTTGGAAGAATATCAAGGCTTACTCGCTACAACTCACACGCCGGAAGAGAGTGGTGGCATGAATCCTTCACCGAAAACAAACGATCTTGACATCTTTATCCAGGTTCACGCAGACAATGGCAGCATTTTTCTACCCGCCCATATCTATGACCGTACAAATTGTGTGAGAATAGACACTGTAACTTTTGATACCGATTTGAGGTTTACAAATTATTACATGGACATGGAAACATCATTTGGCCCGGCGGAATTTGTTATAGATTCAGCCCAACCCGATGGTTCCCATTTTTCCTCAAGTACTCAGTTATTTCTGGATGGTTTATCTATCTACGGTCATCGCCTTTTCGGGCTGCCTCCTACCGAACCAACTTATGTTTGCAATTGGGATTTTCAAGTTGGATACATTGTCGGAGAATGTACTCCTTCGTTTCTAAAATATGCTGCATCAGCAGTAAATTTTCTGGCATTTTCTTTCGACGATGAGGAGAATGCACTACCCCCGCTCCACCCCATCGAAATCCACGATGTGACGTTTGTGCGAGCCAGAGTGAATCGTATACGGACTTGGGTCCTAGTCGAGGATTCCGCCATATTATTCAACTGTGGAGTTATCAACCTTGACTTCAATGATTGGGTGGACATGAACTTTTCTTCGCGGCTTAACCTGAATTTACCCGATCTTATTCTCGCTGTAGTAGATCGAAACGCAGCTATTCGACTGCGAGAGCCCTCGCGAGAGACGGTCAAGACCTATGGATATTTCCAAACGTCACTATTCTTCAGGATGATGGAACGCAAATCGGACTTTTTCGTTTCCCGTGGTCTTCAACAAGAGCATATCCGCGTACATGATCAGCGGTCCAATAGGACACCTTGGCTACTTCACAATGTTGAAAATACATTAGCGCAGCTTTCTCTAAATACTGCCAACCATAAGGTCAGCCCACCCGCCATGCCTGTACCGCTTATGCCTGAACCGATTCACTCGATTCCTAAATATTACGAAGACTCCTCCATTTCGTCATCCCCATTTCCGTATATATCGAGTGGAAAAAGCTCGATACGGTCTTCTCGATCTTCTGGATCGAAGCGGGGAAACTTCCCAAACTCTAGCCGCGTGCCGCCCTACGGCTCTGATGTTACGGATGCTACGGTTGCCTCTAGACGCCAAACCACTCACGGCTTCGATGGAGCACGGGGACCGAACAACATATTAAGCCCCACTAACAGTATATCCAGCCCATGGGCCATTCCGAACTTCCATTTCAATGGGATAGAACCTGATATTGGCGGCGTTCCCACGTTTCCCAACTCGGACGATATGCCAGAACGGAGCGAGTGGGACCTGGGCAGTAATATCACACTTGATTCTGGATCAAAATATGAAAATGCTACCCAGATCTTTTTCCACTATGAATTTAAATGTGGTCTACGTGGCTTGGGCTCCCCAGAAGCTCTTTCCGCTATATCTTCGCTTTTCGATGAACTACAGCCAGCGCATCCAGTTGATATCATTGACAACCTCCAGGCCGGTGTCATTTCAAGAATTTTAGCGCATGAAAAAGCAATTGCAGGTCCCAAGAAAATATCCAACTTTTCGCTCATTTTCCCCCGCTTGCATATTCGATTTATCAATTCATCTAAGTCAATGGATGCGGACCAATTAGGAAACTTCCGTGACCAGTATGACTTAAAGCTTGCTCATATTAGTTCCACGTTTCGCACCGGCGTCGAAAGCATACGGGGTGACCATGCACGACCTCCCAAGACAGACTTCACGATGCATTTAGCGGCTGATGAAGTTTCACTGTCAGCTCATGGAGAGCAAATGGAAGCGCTTGATCGTAAAGGCTTGGTACACTGTACATTGAAAAACATAATTTGCTGGTCAGCGTTCGAAGAAGAGACGCAGCGCTCTCATGTTCAGATTCAAGATATCGAAACCGCCACCTCAAGCAAATCCGTCCAAGACTCGGCATTCCTGATTGACCGTACTACCAACCTAGTCAACTCGATTGTGGCACCTTTTCAAAAAGCCTCCGCAGCTTACACAAGACGACTTCGCTGCTTGGTCTATACTCTTACTAGCCACGGCTCCCAAACACCTGATCCGTTGTTTCTGACACGGACGTCATACGTGCTACGAGCCGCTCAGGATCACTTAAGACTTCATGATTCCTGGAAAATCATTTCTCGATTGCGGAATATCTACAACTGCTTACCGGCTGACCAAACCTCGAAAGTTGGCTTGCGAATTGCATAGCCAATACCATTTCATGCCCGCCAGATGCTCAAACTACCGTATTATCCAACTTTGACCGCTGGAGAACCTGGGATCTTTCCCATGTCAAAAACAGCGCTGTGATGAAAGTAATTTGGGGGAATTTGGAAGAGGGAAATGCTAACTCTCGTGAACCGGCAAACCAAATCTTCACTTTAAATATGAATAGGATAGGGTTTTGTTTAGACCCTGGCCCGAAGGAAAGTAGATTATCACTTCAAGGTTTCTCGACTTCGCTGAACCTCGGAATAAGTCCGTTAAAGCAACAAACTGCCGGCAGACCTCACAGCCAGTATTTAGCTGTACAGACGTTCTGCTCTAATATATCCTTGGGACTTAAATGGGAAATTTGTGAACTTGTTGAGGGGATCCTTGAAATGGTATCAGGACGACAGAAACAAACTGCCCCACCAGCCCAGGTTTCACATGATGCCAGGCCGGCCGCTAAGACCGACGAAATTCAGTTTGTTTTCCTAGTTGATGATGGATCAGTCGTTGTTGACGGAATCAACATAAATGTCTCTCTGCGAGGCAGTGGCATTAAAGGTTCAGTGATCCATCAACCTTGCAGGCAAGAATCAAGAAGTTCTACAAGTGTGGTTGTCAGCTCCGATGAGTCTTCTGTTCAATTTAGCAGCCGCTTAAAAGACCTGATGATTTGGAGGCTAATGTGCCCCAATGTTTTCGTTTCGCACACCTCACAGGTCAGCGGGGCCCGTGTTAAACATGACTGGAAATCCGCAGCTGCGTGCCGGCTGTTACTCTATGATATGAACGAAGATCCCCTTGGTATGGTTCAAGTGGTTGATCGAATTGTGGAGGATGAAGTCAAATATATTATTGAGTTGATTTCTACGATCGAATCATCACAATCAGAGCGCGAAATACATTCTACCACAGCTAAGAGAATGATTATCCATCGATTCCACGTTGCAATGTTTTTGGATGATTACCATGTACGATTTTTACTCCTTCCGTCATTAGTTTACTCTATTTCTGGAAAGGTCGCTAGACTCTCTATCGCCCCTGCGAAGGGTTCCAAATTAGAACTTGACTTTGACCTGAAGAATAATTCACACAAGTTCTGGACAGATAATGAGGCGGATTCGAGCATCATTTCTGCCCTTGATATCCCTCCTATCAACGGGCGTATCATTGTCGAGACGCCTCCTAATCAAACATCTTTGGATATCGATATAACCATGGAACTCACCAAAGTCGATGCTGGAGCTGTACGTAACCTACTTGGTGCTTTAAATGGACCGGAAATGTCGCATTTATTGTCAGATTTGGAGCACGATATTAAAATTCTTAGCCATCGTTTTGACCGCCTTGTTTCTCACGGTTATAGTTCACCCAAAATGAAGCCTTCTGACCATGACCTCATATATAAGGTCCGGTTCACATTGGCTGGTGTCAATATTTTTGCAACTGCTCCTGGTTTGAGTAGTAAGGATTACTCTGCGGACATGAACTTTAAAGTGGGCTTGGTGCAATTCCATTTAGAGAATGCTTCTCTCAATGCACCCGTTCTTCATTATCCTGAATTTAACCTCCGTCTATCTCGCATTAGTTTCGACCTCAAGAAACGCGATGAGGTGCATACAAATCATTATGGTACCTTACTTCTCGACGCTCAGATATTGGGAACTTCAAAGACCAATGATGATGGTGATGTTGTGCGATCATATGATGTAATCAACAAAAGTTTGCAAATCGAACTATATGCCGAGACTGCAATGATGATTGTTGATATTGCGGCCCACCTTCAAGAGAGACTGAAGACTCTCGATTTATCGCAGGAGGTCAAACATCTCAGGAGACTGCGATTGATCACTGCACCAGAAAGGATGTCGTCCATGGAGACCCGTGGCGAGCAGGCCGAGACTCAAAATCTGTTCAATGCCATGTACTCAGTTGTGCTCGCTAATATCCAAGTGAGCTGGGTCATTTCCACGCCAGCCCACACTCTCCAAGGAAGACAACCAGAAAATCTCGTCTTTTCCATCAGGAAGGTAGAGCTGGCAACTAAAAGACAAAGCGCCGCCCGTCTAAGGATTGAAGATTTGCAACTTCAAATGGTTCCTCTACAGATGGACAAGACGAAAAGGTCACGAAATTCTGCTCTTCTACCCGAGGCCGTGTTCAACGTGGCGTACCTCTCCAATGGAAGAGAGCGCCGACTGGCATTTCAAGCCGCGGGGAAAGAGTTGGATATTCGAGTGACATCAGAATTCATTCTGCCAGCAAGGATTCTTCAGGATTCGATCGCATTAGCCAGCGACAACCTGCGCAAAGCAAACAGGCTTTGGAGTGCTGCGATCCCTCTGGAAAAGAAAAAGACAACATCTAGCACAAGTATTATTAGGCTCGCTTCTCTACTCATCGATGCTGATTTTTCCGGAGCCGTCGTCAGTTTGCAAGGTCGGCAGGACGATGGGACGACAGGCGCTGCTTCAACAACGACTCGAAATTCTCGAGCATCTGGTGGAGGCAAGTACGGCCAGTATATCCCGCAGGATGCTGAAACCACAGCAACTCTGCGAGCTCCCGGGGTAGCGTTAAAAGTCCAGTACGAAGACTCTGGCGATGGGGAGCCCACCTTGAATGCGGAAATGAAGGTCGATGCCTCCACCAATGTCCTCTACCCCACTGTTGTTCCTCTGATCACCCAAATATCTGAGAGTGTGAAAGAAGTAGTTGGAGAATCAGACGGAACGAACGACTTCTCCGATAACAACCAACAACCTGCCCAAAAGTCCTCACTTGAGAGACCTCTGGGCACAAATGACCCTACAACCATCCTTGGGCGGTGTAAGTTAAATATTGGTCTGCGGATTTGCAGACAGGAATTCACCCTAAGCTGCCAACCAATCGCACGGGTTTTGGCTACTGCACGTTTTGAAGACAGCTATATTACAGTCAATACTGTCCAATCAGCAGAGCAGAGGCGGTTTTTTGCTATGGCTTTGGCGTTTAACTCGTTACATGCTTCGGTCAAGCATGTATACTCCACCGAATCCACAGCTAGCTTGACAGTTGACTCTATTGTTATGTCAACGATAAATAGCAAGCATGTCAGCTCTAACAATGGAATTTCGGCAATCCTGAAGATCAGTCCTACAGGGCTTCATGTGAACGCCAAACAAGTTCAGGACTTCCTTCTGTTCCGGGAGATCTGGGTTCCGCCTAAAGGCCCACCGACCCAGCGGCCAGCTAAACCCCAACCCGCTACGGATACGCATGCATACCTCGTGCAGCGCTACCAGCAAATGGCTGCCACTGGCTCTTTTCCTTGGAATGCTGTACTTGCGATAACGCAGCTGGATATTTGCCTTGATCTAGGCCAGACTTTAGGTAAATCGGATTTCGCCATCAAAGGTTTATGGTTAACGTCGAAGAAAACGTCTGATTGGGAGCAAAATCTCTGCATTGGATTTGAGGAAATCGCTATTGAAAGTAAGGGCCGGCTAAGCGGGATCATTGGGTTGCATGACTTTAAGATTCGAACGTCGATCCGATGGCCAGACAGCGATCAAAAAGCATACCAGACTCCCTTGATCCAGGCATCAGCAAGGTTCAATCAACTAGAGACGAAAGTATCCTTCGAGTATCAACCATTCTTGGTGGCGGATATATCGTCGTTCGTGTTTTTCATGTACAACGTTCGGAATACATCATTATCGCAGAAGGACTATCTTGTCAGCATTCTGGAGGGAGATAGAGTTCAAATATTCTGCACCTCACTTACTGCTTCGCAAAGCTTAGCTCTATACCAAGCACTCCAACGATTCGTACAAGAGAAACAGACCGCGTATCAATCCTCCTTAAAGGAAATTGAAAGATTCCTGCGTCGCAAATCCACAATCGGCTTCGACGAGCTTCTTCAGCAACCAGCAGCAGATGCTCCATTGGCAAAGAAAGCCGACGACGATAACCAGAAAATGCCGATATCGCTGCACACCGAAGTGGTTGTAATTCTCAAATCCATCAACCTCGGCGCATTCCCGGGTACGTTCCACGACCACCAGATCTTCAAACTGGTAGCTCTGGATGCCGAAGCGCGTTTCTCCGTCGCAGCTGAAGATGGACGAATCCACAGCGGACTTGGGCTCACACTGGGCCAGCTCAAGGTAGAACTTTCCAGCATCAGTCGGCCCACGGGAGCCCCACCGCCAGCACCCGAAGACCTCTCAGTACACGACATCGTGACGCGTGCCGATGAATCCCGCGGCGGGACGATCCTAAACGTACCTCGTGTCCTCGCAAGCATGGAAACCTGGCAAACACTCCACTCGAACCAGATAGACTACATCTTCAAAAGCTCCTTTGAAGGTAAAGTCGACGTTGGCTGGAACTACTCGCGCATCAGTTTTAATCGGGGGCATGTGGGACTAACCAACAACAACAGCCTTGCCAGCCGGCTGGGGAAACCGCTGCCACAGCCGACGGTAAAGATTACGCGCGAACGCGACGAGGGCAGCGAAGGCGGAGAGGATACGGGTCAGGTAAAAATCACGGCGGTAGTCAATGTGCCGCAGTCGCGGTATGTGTATACAGCGCTAGAGCCGCCGGTGATCCAGACGCCGCAGCTGCGGGATATGGGGGAAGCGACGCCGCCGCTTGAGTGGATTGGGTTGCATCGGGATAAGCTGCCGCATATCACGCATCAGATCCTCATTGTGACGTTGATGGAAATTGCGAAAGATGTGGAGGATGCGTATGCGAAGATTTTGGGGTCGGCATAAGTGGGGATTTGGTCTTTTTGCTGCTTGCTCTATTGTTTACTTTTTTTTTTATCTCCTCGTTGGATTTCTAAAATTCCTTTTAGCTTTTTTCCCTTTTCCAACACGTGTTATTATTTCCCATACGCTATTGTATGTATATACCACTTATCATTCCTTTAGTTCGGTGCTGCGTTTAAATCTTCTTGATTTTTAATCCTTCGCTGCAGCGCCACTTTATGTTGGTTTCGATATGACTTTTGTTTAAATATTTCCCCACCCCCGCACACACACACACACACACACACATTCTCTCTCTCTCTTTCTCTCTCTCTCTCTCTTTCTTGTTCGGGATGTTAGTCATAGGGGGCGGATGGTCGCCAGGGGAGTTCTTTCGTCATCCAGCTACATTCATCTTGCATAGGGTTGTATGTATTCTTTCTTGGTTTGCTTCTGTGCATATACATAGTTATAGTCGGAGAGAAACCCAGTCATACTAAGATTCTCTCTAACCCACTCCGGGTAACCCTGGATCAATGAGGGTGAGAGGACAAGTACCACAGAAGTCACTCCTCAGCAAGTGAGGGGTAGGAAAGGACTTGGGGAGTACCTCAGGGCGCCAGGCGGGCGGCGCGGTCTGTGATTGGCTGCACAACGCACACAACGCATCGCAAGCCCCGCCCTTTCCTGCGATTTGAAATCCGTCAACCTCAACCTCAACTCACGCAACTCTCTCAACTCACCCACTGCCTCAGCAACAGTGACTGGGAGAACTCGTGAATGCCACGCTGCCCACCGCTTGCTGCTGTAAGTCTACTTACTCGCTCCTTACTGCGCATGCGTGACTACTGTCTCGGCTGATTCCTCTCCTCATCTCCGTTCTTCCTCTCTGTTTGCTTTTTCTCCCTGTTCCCCTCCTCATCCTCAACTCCCACCTCCCACCTACTGAACTTTCTCAAACTTCCGCTTTCTCACAGATCGAGTTAGCGCTCGATCCTGTCTTGTGTGTTCTTCCACTGATCTTCACTCTCACAGAATCAAAGCGAACCGATAGTATACCAGACTAAGGAAGAAGAAAAAAAGACAAAAATCAAACCGGCAAAAAATTTCTTATCGTACAACCCCGCCTCTAGGGCTTTTTTTAATCAAGCAAATCCGTCAAGATGGTCAAGTACGTATCCACCTCAGGAATACATGCCTCATATCTTCACCTCTCTTTCTGTGAATACTTTTCATTTCTATTAAAAATGCATTGTACATCCTCTTGTGGCCCCCATCGCCCGCTTCTCTCGGTGGTTTTGTCCACGGTGATGTGGTGAATTCGATGCTGACAAATGTCTCTCCCACAGCTTCACCGTCGAGGAGGTACGTTATTCTCACGCAACTCACAATGGCTACATCCGGTTGCATACGGCATTTTCTACCCACATGTCATATATCGTGGTAAAATGGAGCGCCAATGTCAATGGTGGGGGAACTAACGATGCTTTTGTTGCATAGATCCGTCAATTGATGGACCGTCCGGCCAACATCCGGAATATGTCCGTCATTGCTCACGGTATGTGGTCTTTTGATCTATTTAGGGCGTAGAGAAGCATTGCACTGCTGATACACAGTGTATAGTCGATCACGGCAAATCCACTTTGACCGACTCTCTGGTCCAGCGTGCTGGTATTATCTCCGCTGCAAAGGCTGGTGAGGCCCGTTTCACAGACACTCGTCAGGACGAGCAGGATCGCTGTATCACCATCAAGTCTACCGCCATCTCCCTCTATGCCCACCTACCGGATCCGGACGATCTCAAGGATATCCCCCAAAAAGTGGACGGAAATGAATTCTTGATCAACTTGATCGATTCCCCCGGCCACGTTGACTTCTCTTCCGAGGTCACTGCCGCCCTGCGTGTCACTGACGGTGCTCTCGTTGTCGTCGACTGTGTCTCTGGCGTCTGTGTCCAGACCGAGACTGTCCTCCGACAGGCCCTTGGTGAGCGTATCAAGCCCGTCTGTATCATCAACAAGGTGGACCGTGCCCTCCTTGAGCTGCAAGTTACCAAGGAAGATTTGTACCAGTCATTCTCGAGAACAATCGAGTCCGTCAACGTTATTATCGCGACCTACTTCGACAAGGCACTTGGTGATGTCCAGGTCTACCCTTACAAGGGAACTGTTGCTTTCGGGTCTGGTCTTCATGGATGGGCTTTCACTGTGAGGCAGTTCGCTGTCAAGTATGCCAAGAAATTCGGTGTTGACCGTAACAAGATGATGGAGCGTCTCTGGGTATGTCACTAACCATCACCATCATCATATGATCTTTTTTTAATTGCAATCCCACTAACCCCATTGTAGGGCGATAACTACTTCAACCCCAAGACCAAGAAGTGGACCAAGGTTGGTGAACTCGATGGCAAGCCTCTTGAGCGTGCTTTCTGCCAGTTCATCCTCGACCCCATCTTCAAGATCTTCAATGCTATCACCCATGCCAAGAAGGAGGAGTCTCTACTGGGCTCGTCGAGAAGCTTGATATTAAGCTTACCTATCGTATGTCATGAAGTTAGAAGGCAAGCCTCTTCTCA